ATTGCCATTGCCCGGATCTAGGAGAAAAGGGTTCTGCCTCTCTTGTTGGCTCTTAACCACTCTCTTTCCTTCAGCCATGCAAATGGACAGAATTGGGCATCATCCTCATTTCAGACAGAATCCTCTTCATCATTAACACAAATAATAATCAGACGAGCAGAAGTGGGGTGATTAAATTAAAGACATTCTGAGTGCCCCTGGTGTTCTAAAATTGGCTGTCAGATCTGAAGTCCAAATGACTTCTCTGGACATTTTCTTTGTTATGTTGAAGTGAAATGAAAAGTATAGCCATACAAGTTAGTCTATGGTTATAATAATCATTTATTTAAAATTAGTGAGGTACTGATTTTAAGCAGTGGCCCAGTGCTCATTTTCATTAGAGGGTCATGATTATTTTTATCTGTTTTGTACATGGGATTTTTTAGCCTTCATAGACTAAATCAGCCTTCAGTCTGGTAGAGAATAAAGACCTGGAGTTGATGAAGTAGTTTTCAGGAGACAAAACAGCCTGAGCTCAGATAGGACTTTATTTTGGAATGCAGAGTTTGTGGGAATGTTGAAAGGGAGTGATATCTAAACAGGGAATGAAAACATGAAATGTTCAGTCTGGAAAAGGAGATGGGATTTGAGAGAGTGGAGAAGACTGTTCAGGAAAAGGGAATAGTGTATTCAAAGGTATAGAAGCAAGAGAGAACATAGATTGTTAGTGAAACTGATTGAAATAAAAAACCCCATCATCACTACCACCAGCAGAAATCCTGGAATGCAAAGACAGCTCCTGGCAAAAGCAGGAGGAGTTAGGGATGCATTGAAGGGTTTTAATGACTCAGTCAAGTTCACATTTTACAAAATCAATGAAAGTGCAGTGTGTGGAATAGATCTGTGGGCTTAAGAGTTGACACAGGCTGACCAGTGAGGAGACTTTTGCAATATTCTAAGTTAGAGATAATGATGGCCTTGATTAGGGCGGAGCTGATGAGGAAAGAAAGAACTTGGTGACCTGAAGAGGTATTTCAGAGATAATTAATAGTTCTTAGACATAAATTAGATGGGTGGAATAGGGAAGCGAGAGGAATTGACAACGAATTGAGGGTGTTTGTGGCTTTCTTTTCTCTGCTTGGCAACAATCAAGATCACAGTTCTCCAAAAAAGGATTGTGGTTTTTGTTAGGGATTCTTCCCCCTGACTAGATGAAGTAAGGTAGGAGAAGAGGAGTTTAGAAAGAAGAGAATATTAACTTTTGAGAAGCACTACTCATCAAGATTGTGCAGAACTAGAACACCCCAGCTGCAACTCCCACGGGCTGTTGTTATAGTCTCTGTATGTAGTTTCTTATAGGAACCTCTTTATTTGTTATAGTATCATTTTACATGTGTAGAAGTACATAAATATCATTTCCATTTTTTTCTTTTTTATAATACAGTATTGTGTATTTATATAGTGTTAACTCTAAAAGGAATCCTGGAAGTTATAGTTTTCCTCCACAGTTGAGGAAATCGGAGATTTGGGAAAAGAGCGACTAATGTAAGTGCTATGACAAGTACTGGAACTCAGCTCTCCTCACGGCCACTGCTGTGCACCTGCCATAGGACCTGGCTACACATGGGTTATTACATTCTACCAAGGCAAATGAGCAAAGATGAAGACCTTGTCAAAGAAAAACGCCAACATCACACAGGAAGGGAAATGATTGCATAAATAAATATATTGTTTACTTGACTTTTTTTTTTAAGAGTACAAAATCCTATTTTGAGATGACCAGGTTTGCAGAAGTTCAGAATCTTCTGAGTCTTGTCCTTCCTATCCTTCCATTAACTTTTTATCTTGAGGCACTGGAAAGAGTTCACAGTTGAGAGTTCTGGACTTAGGTTGGCTTTCTCTCTAATAAATAGGGGAGCTGCTTCTACCTCGATAGATATGAGGGTTTTTTTTTTCTTTTAATCTCAGAAAATAAGAATGTGGGTATAGATTTCTTTAAAATCTATTCCTTGCTTGCTCTTTCTTTCTCACTTTTTTTTTTTTTTGTCTCTGGTTGCCTTGTTTTTCTTCCTTAAACTGCTTCTCTTCTCTGTGGCAGATAAGACTCCCTTAAAATCCTGGTAACATAATTCAATGGTGTGTAAGTCTAGGATAGTCCTTTTTATTTATAGGGTGGGTGGAGGGTGTGGTGCTCTGTTCTCCCAAGTGGGGGGAGGGCAATCAATAAAAATTTGCTGAGTTTTGGAGAGAAAATATTAGAACTGCAGTTTGTGTTTATTTTTAATTTCTTTCTTTACAAAATTCTGCTTTTGTATATATTGTCTCCCCTCCATATTCATGGGTTCCACATCCATGGATTCAACCAGCTGCATATCAAAATACTGGGGAAATAGAGAATGGATGGTTGCATCTGTACTGAACATATATAAACTTTTCATGCGTAGACTTTTATTCCTAAATGATGCAGTATGGCAACTATTTACATTGTTACTTGGTAATAAGTAATCGAGAGATAATTTAAAGTATATGGGAAGTTGTGCTTGGGCTATATGCAAATAATATGCCATTTTGTATAAGGGACTTGAGCATCCATGGATTTTGGTATCTGGTCAGGGTCCTGGGATCAATTCCCTGTGGATACCGAGGGACACCTGTATTTTAATAAATGATAGCTCACTATAGTAGTATATACATATTATTTATAAATGAGTAGGTATATATTATGGGAATAGATTTAGATACAGTAAGCTGACAGGTAATTGTCAAATAACTTTGGAAACTACTGGTGAAGAGTTTCAAAAAAGGTAAGTCACAGACATCATCAGGATATTAAAATAAATGTTCTTAATTTTTCATTTTTGCATACTCTCATCACTGGAAATAAAGACCAGAAATCTAAAACAATGATCATAATGAACACCATTTGGGTAAAAGAATTTACTTAACTAAGTATCTAGGTCCTAGAGAGTTGAGGAGAAGTATTCACCTGGATTAGCATCTAATTTTAAGATGAATTTTAATCCTGTTCATGATTTGGGGGGATGGTTAAGTAAGTTGCCTCATAATACTGAAATTGTTTGTTATAATTCAGTGAAACTTTTCAACTGCAGGAGCAGGAGGTGATCCCATTAGTGATTTTTAAAGAGATTTGGCCAAGACATTTGAAGTCCTACTTCCTGAAGCTTTTTCCTTTTTGCCGTTTACTTTATTGTGTTGTATTTTTGTGATTGTTTCTCGCAGAATAAGACCACAGCTTGCCAAAGAGAAGATAGAAGGATGCCATATTTGTACATCTGTAACACCGGGAGAACCTCAGGTTTTCCTAGGGAAAGATAAAGCTTTCACTTTTGATT